TGAACAGTGTTGCAGCCGGAAAGTTGGAGAACAACGTGCTTCTTGCGGCTTGGTCTTCAATGTTGAGCTTCCTGTCGTGATAACCATGACACGGATGTACCCACGAGGAAAGAGGGAGATGTTACAAAGGTCGAGCGCACGGCAGCAGCTTTAGAGACGGACGAATCACCTGCATCAGCCTTAGAAACTGCACTTGGTTTCTTGTTGCTGGATTCGTATGCACGGACGCTTATTCCACCACTCGTTTATCGGCTGGACCGCTGCACTTCTGAGGACATCGATATTTTAACTCAATTCTTCACTACAGTCAGCGCTCAGAGGAAAGCCAAACCGCAAGACAGTGCGTTGGAATCGCGTCTTCTAAATAATCTCATCGCCTTATCTTAATTTGTGGGAATCGCCAATGCCAACTTTATCCGAGATGAAAGCTCGATTCACGGGTGCAAAGATGAGCGAGGACGGAGGATTCTACTCTGCGATTCCTGAATATTGTGCATTCTTTAAAGAGAAGTCGGCGTTGTGCAACGAGTTTAACGTGGCAAATCGAATGGCATAGTGTACAATCGTGATGGATATTGGAACAAGACTGCTACAATTCTGAAACAGGCGAGTGTTTTGCTCCTGAGCGGCAAGCTGGACGCTCAGACCCCCCATGTATTCGCGGAGTACTTGTTGAATGAGCTGCAAGGTGAAAATAAGGAGTTGATCGCATTCGACTATGCATCGCATGGCGCCGCCATGACGACATAGATGGTTGCAGGTGACCCAAGCAGTGAAGTCTGCGGGATGAAGGTACTGGCATCGTACGTGCGCGGTGGTGGAAGCTTGGATAATTTGTATGTGCATGAGATGCCAACGTTTAACGTGATTAATCCAGCTACGTATTTGTACATGTACTTCGGTACAGACGACGCCTATGATGGCGTGTATAACGCGAGTTTGGTAGCGTAAACCCAATCCTGGAGTGCAAGAAATGACTTCATCGCCAAGAAATCAAAACGAAGTTGAGCATCAAACTACACAGCAATTGGGCCCAAGCCGGCAAGAATAAAACAACACAAGATTCGAAGTTCTTTTAGGCTCACTCACCTACATCAATTCCATGACTCTATCGTTTCTAGTAAGCATAAATAGGGGATCTCTTTACAATCACCAAAAAAGCCAATTGGAGCTCAGGATTGTGTAAGTAGTGAGTAACAAGACATTTTTTTTTTTTTTTTTTTTTTTTTTTTTTTGGGGGGGGGGGGTATCCACGAGTGAATCAAATCCTATATCGCTTGCTGACACACTCCTTCAAATTTCCCCTGATCAAGTACATTCGATACTACCATTCAGTGCGTGTAGGAGAAGTGCCTATTTAACTTTAGTTAGTCGATCCTATAATAACTCTATGCTCTCTGCTCTGTTCGACATGTTTTCTCTTGGTGGCAAAGTGTCCTTCACCTATGCCACGTTTCTAAATCAATAGTACCCGGTACCTATATGTAGTGTCGGGTATCCATAGTTTTATAAAGGGTTGGAGAGGAGGAATTGCATCGGCAGATGTAGAAGCTCCGAAGGACAAAGGCCAACTATAGAAATCCGCTTTTTTGTTAATGGTAAAACATCATAAAACGAACTTACAAGGTCTTGTACAGCTTAGTGTTAACGGCCTCCCTTCCAGAGCTCTTTAGTCCTGCAGTCGAGCACTTCAGCACTTGAACTATATACGGAGGGGTTTAATCTTTGGCTTTATCGTTATTATTTTCGTCTGGCTAAATGAGTCAGCCAATCTTGGAACAAGATTAGTAAGTAGACGTAATAATGAGCATTCGATATAAGTTGCAAACTGGCAATGTTATAAAGTTATGTGAGTTATTCGCCACAGGCGACGCATACGATTTGTCGTCCCGATTGGTGTGACTTTAAAATCAATAATGTTTCATGACAGCTCAAGGCATCGTAAAGGTCCACGACAGTAGGCAAATAAGTTTCTGCTTATCGGGGTAATTTCCTCAGTACAACAAGAAATATATAAGCTTTAAGATTTACCCGGCGAGCGAAGCGAGGTGGCAGTAACAGTCTAAAAAATAAATCATTCGGTCTAAACGGAATCAACAGTTCGCTGAACGCAGCGGCACTTATCTCAGCGAGAACCTGCATAAAAAGTCGTTCCTATGGTCTGCGATCGGCCTGTCAGGCACGATGATAAGTTTGTTCTGTATGTTCAGCATTACTGTACACCCTGATCGTTAGATACATGTGCTCCTTGTATAGTCATGAAAACACGAAGTACGCCGTCGATGGATGTTAAGCATTCCCGACACATAAAGACACATACAGCAAATATGTTGCCATCGTTCCGAGACTTTTTCGCATCGGTTATTTGAAGCCTTAGCTCTTGCCCGTCCCTTAGGTTGGACTGGGTAGAATACAACTCATCTTAATAAGCATATCGCTTTTTTTTATACCCTGTCATATCTGCTATGATGACTCGACTAAATATCGGTTGCTGTGTATCAAGATATTTTTTCCCCCACTGGGTCTCCTAGCTGGCCCCACACTTGATGAGGGGGCTTTCTGAAGTAGCGAAGCGATGAGTATTGCTATATGATCAAGCCATCAATACTAATCACCTTTTTCGGGATTCACTTTTTGGCAGTGGTTCAGTTCGTTTACCATTCGTTATGTTCACGTCAGTGGCGGCACAACGTCATCACTCGAATTACGTCTGTCTTACCACTGACGCGATCACATCTCGACTGGACAATTCGCACCTTTCACATGATGCCACAACTCAATTTACCACCTCACATACCGGACTTCACAGGTGAAGATGGACGAGAAACTGATTCCCAAGGAAGCAAGTGACCCCAGTGAGTCTCTCTTAGAGACTAATCTGCTCAGAAACTCTGTCGTCGCCATTGAAACACTTCGGAGTGATCCAGACGAGCCAGACCCAAAACCGATGGTGGAAGTTCGTGAGCTGCTCAAGTTAATCTTGCCAGTGGTAAACTGTTCAAAGGACTGGCCCTCAGGATTACGAACTAACTTTATCTTTCGTTGCAATGGCAGACTGGGACCACAGTACTCGAATTCCTCCCCGGTTTTGTATCTATATTGTTGGCTGGCAACATGGGAGGACCGAATGCACAGCACTACGTCGATGCCGCGACGATCTCCGTTATGGTACGCAAACCTTGCAAGCACGAATAAGCGGCTTTTTAATGATCGCAATGTAGCTTTTGAACGTCACAGCACAATCACTTGGACTGGGTCTTGCATCCGCACTAGATACGCTTTGCTCTCAAGCCTATGGCGCCAAACGGATCGACAAGATCGGAATCTACTTCCAGACGGGGGTGGTGGTTCTCTCCATCGCTCTCATTCCCATGCTCGTGGTCAACTCGTTCGCTGAACCTATCCTCAATTTGCTTGGTCAGCACACGAACGTCACATACTTGACTCGCGACTTTTCTCGTCTGATGCTTCCTGGACTGCCGTTCCTCTTCCTTTACGAGCTCGTGCGGAAGGTGATGCAGTGTCAAAATGTCGTCAAACCGCTAGTCGTCATCGCAGTTATCGGAAATCTGGTCAACCTTGGTGCTGGTTATGGACTTGCGTACCACACGTCGATGGGATTCAACGGTATTGCTGTTGCTCGATCGCTGGGCAATATCACACTCACGTTTCTGCTCGTACCGTACTTCATGTGGCGGCCACACCAACTTCGAGACTGGTGGGGCCACGGGTGGAATATCAAGGCCGCTATGAACTATGTGAACCTCTTCGTGCGAATTGGTTGTCCGGGAATGGTTATGATGGCTGTCGAAGTTTGGGCCTTCGAAATCCTGGCAATTCTCGCTGGTAACCTACCAGACAGCGTCGTGGCCCTGTCAACACATGCTGTGTTGATGAACGTTAACATTATTCTCTACACTACGTTCTACGGCATCGCAGTCGCTGCTAGCATTCGAGTGGGAAATTGCCTGGGCGCTAATCAACCGAAGAAGGCGAAGATGGCTTGCTACTTAGCCCTCGGAATCACTTTGGGAGTTTCTGTGATGTTCGCAGTGCTGCTGTTCAGTCTTAGCAACTACATTCCATGCCTGTTCCTTGATGACGATGAGAGTATCGACCTCGCTTCGAAGATTATGGCCATGTGGTCGCCCCTTGAGATCGCAGACGGTCTCAACGCTGTCATGCAGGGAATCTTCAGAGGTGCAGGCAAGCAGAAGCCAGCAGCAATCGCCAACGTGATTGGCTACTACGGAGGAGGTATCCCGCTCGGAGCAATCCTGGCGTTTGTGGCTGATATGGGCGTTGAAGGCTTGTGGTGGGGAATTGGTTTTGGCATCGCAGTGACGTTGTTATCGCTCTCATTTTTGATGACAAACTACTGGCATTGGGACCAACTTGCGAGCACAGCTCGTCAGCGTACTGCCCAATAAGTTGATGAGATCTGCTGTCATGTTGACCTTAGGAATAGTAAACCCCATTCGATATAAATTGTCTGGATTCTATATCCAGGGATACCTACTCTCAAGCCGATATAGATACATTCTGCTCTTTTTTTTAATTTATTTTTACTGGTATTGCTATATAAACTGACCTTCTGGATGCACTAATGCTGCGCCCAGAAAGCTCTGGATATCTGGATATTACAATATCTGACAGTACCAATGAAGTACAACACCAAAAAATGAAACTCGCTGAAAATATTATTTTTTTTTAAAGAAACAAACTACTTTTTCTAAAACAGATTCCGTAACATACCAACGTCGTAACTTACGACGAAATAAAATGCTACGTCGTAACTTACGACGAAATAAAATGCTACGTCGTAACTTACGACGTAATTAGAAGCTGTAAACAGGAAATGGCTCGGATTCAACGCACGCATACTTTATCAAGTTTATTCTGGGCGAAAAAAAAATAAGCTGGGAGAGGTCGAACTCGAACATGCACAAAAGGGCCAGGCTTAGAGGCTGCGGGAAGCAATCAACAGTGATGAGTGGTGGCCTAACGCGAAGGAGGAGCTCATTCAAAGATTGGACAAGAACCAAGCAAGTGATATCAATGGCGAGGATTCGATCGAGCTCACGAACGAAGCAAATAGCGGAGATCCGTGCGGTGGATTTCCGTCATCTCTGGCGCCAACTAAAACGTGTCGGACCGAATGATGTTGGCGACTCAACTAGTGTGCGTGAAGATGTCGGCGACCTGTCACAGAACGCCGTGGGGCATGCGTTCGACCTCCCGCAGTCTGTCTTGGAGGTGTCCGACCATGAAGTCGTCATCGGGGCATTCAACGCCTTCTGTCTGGAGCAGAGTCTGAGGCGGTATCGGAAGATGATATGGAACGTGAGGAAGATGAACCGCCCATAGCGAACACAACTGTTCGTCAGGCCATCCTAGACGACGTGAATATGTTGAAGGACGGGGAGGACGTCGACGCCTACGAGGACTTTAATTCAGGAAGAAGTGATGGCGAAGATGATCTGGAGGACATGGCCGATCCCCGAGGATTTCTTGACGACGATATTGAGCCCCGTGAATATCCTAATGACGCCGATCTTTTGGACGAGGAAGTGGCACTTGTGGATGACGCGTTTGATGAATCCCTTGGTGGCTCATTGGACATAGATCGCATCGACAAAGAAACACTACGTGCGACGGCGTGGGGTGAACCATGTTCAGCGTTTGAGTCAGATCTCACCAGCTACCCACACCTCTCCGACGATGGAGACGTAGCAGAATCACCACTTTCTATATTTTTCTACTATATGCCTAAGTCTTGGTGGGTCCATATCAAGGACGAGGCAAATCGGTACCGGAAGCAGAACATTGATGCGCGCGCTTCGCGAATGCGAGCAAACCAAGTGCGCATGCACCGGCCAACAACACCAGAAACGCTCCAGCAGCAACGCCGACGTTTGCGAGCATAGAAGGCCTTCAACATGTTCGAGATCTTACATGTAGTAGGGCTGCTCATTGCTCACGTCTTGTGTCCTCACAAACGGAGATTTTCAAGTCACTGGTCAATGACGGATGATGGAGCAATTCCTGCAGGTGTCTTCGGAAGATTTATGGCACGGAACTGCTGCACATCCATCCTCCGCGACTTGCATTTTGTGAACAATGCGGTGCCGCATGTTCGTGATCGAATTTGGAAGCTACGACCCGTGGTTATTGTGGTGCAGGAACGATTTCTTTCGGGGTGGTCGCTTCCAGCTGTTTTTTCGTTTCAAGAAGGGGTGCTGCCGTCTACGTCGCGAAGGAACACCACGCGCATGTTCATGCCAGACAAGTCTCATCGCTACTGAACCAAAATGTTTATGGTGTGCGATTTAAAGACGGCGTATTGTCACCGGTATGTTTTTTTCTTTTGCGAATTAAGTCGTAACTTATGACATTTGGTCTATCCAGCACTCTATCGTCGTAACTTGCATCATAGGTTTGAAGTGTATGTTGGAGCACGGGAGACGGACGACACGTTCGGTCAGACAGTTGATAACAAGACGGGTGCTGCTGCGGTGATTAGGAATATGAAAATTGTGCTCGTGGAAAACTCGCGCGGGTTTCGTTTGATAGTGATCGATCGCTTCTATTCGTCGGTTGCACTGGCGCTCCAACTTCTTTCAATGTCTCTCTACGTTATTGGGACCATTGTGACGAACCGTGTCGGTTATGACGGTCAAGTGATCGAGAAACGGAAGAGTCGCCCGAGGGCAATTGAGCGAGGCAGCTTCGCGTTTACCCGTTGCGTCGCGGTGCCCACCATGGTTGCGTGCCACTGGTGGGACCGCAAACCCGTACACTACCTAGCAATGGGTGTGTCTATGGCTGAAGGCCAATTGTATCGCAATGTGAGACAGGTGGGACAAATTACGGTAAAGTGCCCGAAGCTTGTGTCAGACTACCAGCGATGGATGGGGGGAGTTGGTGTGCATGATCAACTCCGCCTCCAGTCCAACTCAATTCGAACCGTGTTTCGGTTTCGCAAGTATTACAAGTCATTATTTTTGGGACTCGTCGATATGGCTGTGGTGAACGCTTTCATTACGCACAAGGAGGCATGTAGAATGAAAGGAACCGCGCCAATGTCTCGGGGGCCTGGATGAATACGCTTCACAAGGAATTGCTGCAACTCAAGCTTGACGATTTCATTGTCGAAACTAGCATTACTCGTTTGCCTGCAGGTCGTTCCAGTGCCAAACGCCGCCGGCAGATATTGCATGAAGACAAGCAATTTGGCGATTGGGTGACGGTTTCAGGCGTCCAGAAGCGCAGACAGCGCGCATGCAAAGTGTGTGCGCTCCTCCGAAGTGACCGCAGGAAGTCCTACCAGGCAACATTTTTCTGTGTAGACTGC